TGTTTTTCTGCAGGTTGGGGCTGGGAAGGACTTTACAAAACAAAACACTTTTTGAAATGGGGGGTAGCGGGTAACAGAGCCTCAAGCGCTGGATTGTAAAGTTGTGTCCGTCGAAGAGTTTACTACAGTACTTTTATCAAAACTGTCTGAGACGAGTAAGCTTCTTTTAAAATTTATCCCTGGAAATCATATACAAAGGGGGAGGGGGGCGTATTCTGATCATACACCGGTCAAAATTGCTGCGCTGGGTAAGACGTCTTTCCAAAGTGTTACTGGTTGTTTTTGGCTTTGGCGTGTGTTAAAATATGAGATTTCAGGTTAGTCGACTGGGCAAATTTCTTGTTGCAGCCGTCAAAAGGACATACGTAGGGCCGGTCCCCGGTGTGAATCCGCACGTGAGTGCGCAAATTGAAGTCCAATGAGAATCGTTTTCCGCAGCCTTCAAATGTGCACTGAAAGAGTAAGGGAGGCAGCGAGGGTTAGACTTTTATAGCGAGAAATAAGTTATTATTATTATTCAGGATTTATATAGCGCCAACAGTTTGCGCAGGGCTTTACAATATAAGGAAGACATTACAATCACAATACAATGCAAGACAAGATGGTAAGGAGGGCCCTGCCCCTGAGGGCTTACAATCTAAAAGGGAGGGGCCAGTGATGCATGAGGAGCTAGCTGTGTGGGGATGATTGTTTGAGAATGTGACATAACATATCATAGACAATGAGAATTGCCCTACAGAACACAGACGCATCTGCTCTATGTGCAAAGCTGGAACTGAATTGTACATACGACTCATCCACGTGGCCTCTCTAACCGTATACAGAAATCCCCACAGCGGCTGCGAGTGCAAAAGTATTGTGCTACTCGCCTCCTGGTTCCATACTTCATAAACCACAGGCTGTTGTCTGACACTTCACCGACCACGACAAGTAGGATAATTCCCACAGGTAGTGAAGGGCGACAGATGGATCCAGAAGTGTTCTGTTCAATTCCGTCACCCTCAATGATACCAAATCTTACAATTCAGTTAAAGAAGGAAATGTGTGGGCTTCATTACATCCCAGCTTGTAATGATATTCTACCACTGCAGCTCGTCTGCCACTGCAAATGACATACTTATAAAAATTCTTACTTCCCATCCGGAGACGATTCTTTGCTCTTGCAGAACCCCAGAAACTGCTGCAATTCAACAATTCAGTCCTTTTTAAGTCCTTCACTGGATGCCGTGGTTCCTCCCACCAGCCCCTTTATCACGGTGTGTTGTGATGAATTAGCCAGCGGGAGGGGACACGCCATCCAACACAATTGGAAGAGATGGCAGCGGTGCCCGGTGTTCAGCAAGAGAGCAAAGACTTCACTAGTCGCTTGATGGAAATGCGCAACTTACGTCACAGGGGGAGGCCGGTGAAAATTTGCACACAAATCAGTGGCAGCTTCATATACCAACCCGAGGAAGCCAATTAGGGCTGCAACATGAACCCCTGCATTCATTCAAGGTTGGATCACACTGGTGCATGCCGATAACATTGGAAAGCACGCATTATAGCAAACTGACAACGGGTGTGCTTACAGTATGGTGTGCTGCAATGTCATTCATTGTTAATAGCACACCAACAAACACAACACGCTGCACCAAGTTTGCGGGAAGGCAGATGTAAAAAATGTGGCATGTACCTTTCTAGGGGGTTTGCAGCCCATTCAAAATGAATGAACGTCCCAACGTTACGCACGTCAACAGCAACACAGCGGTGTGAACGAGCCCTTGGAACTGCTGGAGTGCAAAGGACCCTGAAGACTTCAATAAGTATTTGTATATTATAAGCTACCCAGCTCAATACCTTCCTTCTTTCCTCAGTGAGCACCTAGTGGGTGTAAGAAACAAGCCTTGATCACCCCATTCAATGCCTATACTGATGGGTCTAATGGTTTAAGGGAACTGCAAGGATAGAAGGGGAAGCTACAACACATTTTAAAAGTATAAACGTTGAGGCCGTCCTTCTGATCTTGGCCTCACAGACTGGAGCGAGCACGCTGGACAGGAGTTCAGACTTTACTGGCTCCAAACTTGTTCAAAGACCTTCTTTTTTTCTTCTTCTGCACATTGACATAAAAGTGAATCTCTCAGGACTTACAAACTGAAAGGTACCAGAGTTTAATAAATCAATTTGGGTGCCTGGAAAGGACCCTGAATCGCAGGCCCAAGATGTATATAGGGATGGACTCCAAGCTCCATAATTTTCTGATCATGGCATTGGGCTTTGTGCCAACTAAATCAAAGCCCCGTACACAGTCATGCCCGGTTTTAGTTCAGTACTGTTCAATGGAACTTGGAAGACTGCTTACAGATGAGGTAAGGCATTTGAGGGCGGCCACTGCCAACCTTTCCTTCTAAAAACTGCTAGGTGCCTGGTTGTCGCGCTAATCCAATGACCCAGGTACTCAGTGACCTGAAACATGCACTTTGGGTCAATAAAAACCTCTAGCTACCGACATCCAATCCTCAGTGGGTAGGAAAAGTTATAGTGTATGTTTAGCCAATTTCTTTAAAAGTCTTGGATAAAGAAGGGACGTGTTAATGTTTTTTGTCTTTTGCAGTCTGCTTACAATTAGGGAAATTTCCCTTTACTTCATGTCCACAGGTGCAAGAGAAGTTGACAGAGGATCTTACCCTTCCCCACTTTATCCCCCAAAAAGTTTTGCCCACAGAAACACAAAGTCAATGCTGCAGATGGTATCAGATATGTATTTATTCCAATTTCAAAATGCAAATTTAGCAATAAATAGCTGGAAATCAATCTGGCACGCATAAAACATATGCACGATACATTCAAATCTTCAAACAGCATTCGTCTTTTCATTTCACATGTCAAAGTATTCCTAAACCATAAAAACTGACGCTCTCGTATAAAACAATTGCTAATTACCTGAAATGGTTTCTCGCCAGTGTGAACCAGTTGATGTCGCTTCAGCTTTGAACTTTCGACAAAGGCTTTTCCACATTCTGCACAGACGTGTACCCGTGGACCGTGTGTGTGTAAGTGTTTCCTCATTGCAGAGTTATCCCTGAACATCTTGGTGCATCCCTGGAAATGAAACAAGATGTCAAAACAACAACAATAACAAGCCTCAACCGGCTCTCTGTATTCACACTTATTTTACATTGTGGCAACAGATAAGACAAACATAGTATTGCTTCCGGCTTTACAAGACCTTCACATGCAAAAAAAACAGAAACTCCACTATGGACAATCTAGAGCGAAACGGAGAATAAACCAATACACCATCTTCAGATAGATAAAGCAAAATATAACGGGGCAAAAACTAGGGCTGCAACTAATGACTATTTTCATAAATTAGTTGGCCGATAATTTTTTCGATCGGATAGAAAACAGAATTAAATAAAATACATCCTTAATTTTAAATAAAATACACAATGCAGTGTTACAAAAAGTTTACTTCAGAATAAAACTGAATGCACAATGTTTTGCAATCCTGGAACGCAAGCTATCACAATGCCGTGCGTTCCAGTGCGGGCAATCACACAGTGGGTGGAAGGCACGTTTGGGGTGCCATTGAAATGAATTGCACCTCCTGCAGCAGAATGTGTCAGGCCGAAACAGAAGATCACTATTTTCCACCTTTAATAATAATTTTTTTAAATAATTGTATTGTAAAGCACACAGCTCTTGAATAGCTTCAGCCAGGAAATGACGGCTGCCAGTGGCAAGATTCTGCAGAATGTAAACACAGCAGCTAGTGGATTGGTGCAATAGACTGCTATTGGCCATTTCAAATTGCAATAGCCAATAGCAGGCTGGCACCCGCCCACTGTTTGCTGTGCCCTTTTCCCAGCATGGAGGGGAGAGCTAGGGGATCTAACCAACTAATCCATAATGAGAATAGTTGACAACTATTTTCATTATTGATCATTATCGGATAATTGGATTAGTTGGTTGCAGCCCTAGCAAAAAATTTTTTTACACATAGGCCTGTCCCAAGTAGGGGGTAAAAAAATTATTTGAAGATCAAGGTGGTAGTGTAGCGTCCATGCCCCCCACAATGCTGCGCTTGAGAAACCATCACCAGGCCCAAACAACGTCGTAGGGCATTTTGGCAGGAATAATAGAAAGCACCTTGTGGTTCCGGTCATGTCGCAGCAGGCTTTTCTCCCTTTTGGTTTATTGCCAGTGTTTGCAGGCTGACTTTTTTTTTTTTTTTACCTTTCACTCTAGGGTAACTAACATGAAACCTAAACCAGCAAAACACGAATGTTTGTTCCCTTTCTGCAGTAGGGCAGGGAACCCTTCTGTATGTCTGCTGGTTGGAACTCAATTGTCCGTTCATCCAGTGAGGGAGTGGATTCTTACCAGGTGAATGGTCACCAGTGACCGAATCAATAGTGTGAAATGGATCTTTGGTGAAACTTTTGAATGCCTAAAATGGCTGGTAGGATCTCTTTCCAACTAGTATTCAAATGCTGTAAAGGAGGGTACGGCAGATAGACATCATACTCAAGACGGCCTACACTGTTCTATTTTTGTCCGTTCAACCAGAGGCCTGAATGTACTACAGATTCCTCCATCAACGCTACGAGTGCACTGATCGAGGAATCTCCTGCAGTTTCTTTTGTATTCTGACAGCGGCCACTTTCAGAATACCCAAACAGCTCATTGGCTGCTGGCTCTGTTTGTTCGAAGGAGGCGGCCAGACAATCTTCCATCAGCTGATTGAGGGATGCCGGCCGAAAGGGTGCCGACAGACCCACTGTGCAGAATTCACACAATGTATGGTCAGCTTTAGTAACACAGGTTTTAGTTTATTATGACATTACGTCATTTTCAGGCCTAAAATGTGGAATATAACATGGGTGCAAAAATGGAAAAAAGGGCCTCAGTCATGAAGGGGTTAAAGCCAATACTAGCTCTATGCTCCTCCCTACTGTGTCTGCTGCAATGTCAAAGGCAAAAGAGGTTGGAGCGTATCTATTACAGAGGATTGACACTTTATTAACACAGAACATTTTTCACTGGTACCTACTGTATATTCCCAACTCTCCTCCTGCAACATTTTCCCCAGCACTGCAAGTGGTCCTTATATGTTATATAGTAGTCCCAGATGCAAATTTAGATGCAGCAATTCTGATCATTATCTCTTCTGTGTAAACCACTCGATACCATTCAAATTTGTGTCAATAAAGGCACCACAACTTCTGACTATACTGTAATGGCAGTGTGAATGTAAAAGGGCACAAGTGACGCCCTCTCAAACTGCAACTTCATCCCCTTGTGAGGGGCAAGTTAAAATTTGCTCTGCTACATTTCTAATCCAGACATTCATTGCTGATCTGATTTCACCATTTCCTATGTCAGTTAAATAAATCTCAGTCAATGGCTCCCCAGTCAGTCAGTGGATAGTGAAGAAGCAGCAACAATCTGATGAAGTCAACACTGATCTGTCCCTTCCATCAGTCCGCTCCATGTATACTCTGCAATGTATGAAAAGTGGCGTAAAGTGCTCTCAGTCTGAAAACTTGCTGTGCAGGGAAATACTAGAGGCCAAAATGAAGTCACATTCAAGCACTACATCTATTATTAATACATTTAAAGCCATACTGAGTCTATGGCAAAAAAAAAAAAAAAAAATCAATGACTGCGCATGCACACAATCTAAAGAAACAAAATGTGAATGTATCATTTTATTTGCACTTAAGCCTAGAAAGCAATGCAACTATGATCAGTGGTTCCATGGTGCAATGCTCTGGCTGCTGCAGACTCTTCTTCCTGTCCCTTAACTGAATCTGTACCTCGGTATGGACATGGGCTGGGTGGGAGTATGAATGGACTACAAGTGCTGTGATGTCACCCCTCTGTGGCAGATAGGACTTGTAGTCTCCCCATTCACAGATCCTTTGAATGAAATTTGTGAATGGATGATGTGGTGGTGGATTGATCTACACTTTAAAAAGCATATTTTAATCCTCATTGGGAAAATACACATCAACGCTATTCAATGTGATTAATACGGTTAAGTAACCAAAGCTCACATACAGGACATACATTCTTCCATAAAAGTCATTCAGAAAACAAACTTACTTTATGAGGACAGGCAATCGTTCTCGGTGCATCGTCTTCTTTGATTTTTCGAGGCTTCATTCTTGAAAGGAAAAACGCATTGCATGTGATCAGCGTAGAAGCGGTTATGAAAATGCCACTTTACAAATAAACTTACCTTTAGAACAGCAGACAAGCAGCTACTCTCCCCCAACCCCCAAATGTATACAGCAAAACTATAGATTTGTTTTAGTTTGCCAGCATTGAACTCGCCTCTAAGGTAGTGATCAAACACGAATGGAAGAAAATTACAACAATCAGTGCAAGATAGTAGTCACACTAGAGCGTTCTCGTGACAGTTACCCGTCGACAGCCAAACTGATCCAAAGATAATCCCCTCAATAATATATTTTTATTGATGAGCACCTTGCTAGCCTCCCTTATTAAACCTTTTTTGGGCATAGCTCTCTTTGGGGTTACAGGAGGACATTTACTATGTCCTCCTATGACCCAAAACGCAGCCCACTATATGCCGCAGAGCCGCACTTCAGCCGGGAATGATCCTGACGAAATGGTCAGGATCTACCCCGATTCCTGATTGACAGCTGGCTCTGCCACTGTAGAGACAATTGTGCCCGCCACCTCCCCTGTCTGTCCTTCCAAAGAATGCTGAGGGAACAGAGAGGAGGGGGGAGGGAATCCCTGCGGGGAGCGATGACCAACAGTCACTACTCTAAGTAGAGGAACGTGAGCTGAACAATCATTGGTAAGTGACCGCTTAGTTCTTGATTGGTAGAGCCGACGTGTGACAGCTGCACTGTCTGGGTGCGTTTCACTCTCCCCATAATTCTCCTTTAAGGGCCCATTGAGACCAAATACTCATTGTCTCAATGCACCGATTATGGTGTGGCAGTGTCAAGCATTTTCAATGGAACCCCATATTAACCACATGCTTCATTGTGCACAACAGAACACAGTAACAAACTACCATCCTTGTGGTGCGCTACGTCAAAAAACTAAAATATCCCCCCACCCCCAAAAAAACACCACCACATGTCCAATCTTTGGTCCATTGGCAGCCCATACAAAATGAAATGGCTTATCTTGATGCACTGCAATGGACCACATAAATCTGGATGGGCCCCTTGATGACCTGAAAAGACTTGGCGTGACATTGTCCTTACCAGACACTTTCTGAACCTCACTGAAAACGGAAGCTGCTCCTTCATTTTTTTACACACCCAATTAACCAACTGTGTTATTTTGCAGACTCCTGGATTACAGCATTTGTGGATAATCAGAAATAATAAACTCCAAGATACTAAAACATTACCTCATATCTCCCTTTGTTGGTAGCCCTATTGATAGACTACAGTATACAAGTAACAAAGACGCCATAGACTACAGTATACAGGAATGAAGAGGTCTTTGTGTTTATGGCTGGTGACTGAACACAAAGGAAGTCTGCAGACTCATTAATGCACTTTTAGAGTGAAGGAGGCAGACTAATGGATTATGGGACATGCCCGGACCTTACATCCGGTTTTTCAAGCTAGAGGTAATAGAGACCTCATGTCACAAGGCCTTGTGGATGACATCTAAAGTGAATATGCGGGTTTAGTTGGCATTCAAAAACAGTAAGGTATCATTCTAGATCTACTGTATACCAACCAGAGCTAACACTACTCAGGAGCACTTCTAAAGGTTTCAGGGTATTTCAGCTTATTATCTTTAAATTAAAACAAAGCTTTCTTAAAATGATAAAGCGTGCAAAACAACGTGTAAAATTAGGTGTACTCTAGGTAATATTTAGCCAAAGTACTACAGGGGGTATTTAGCAATGCTTGCTAATATAACAAAATGTATTATATCATAATATTGAGAAATGCAGATTCAGAATCTACATTCGTTTACAAACAGTCCCACCTGCTTCACCAATCATCAATAATAGTCATCTTTAATTGAAGCTTTGCCTTCAGAAGCTATAGTGAGGTTCTTGTTTAGACCAAGTTCCTCTCCACTACTAAATAGAAGGAACCGAAAAGGATAACCAAGCCTTTTATCCAACTATTTCACATGGCCTCCCCTCACCCTGCAATAACAGGCATATATAATATAAACTATACTTTATACCACCGCGCACAACCTGCTCATTCCCATGCAGTTTCCTCACTGCTTGTTGTAAGGATGAATATGTGCTCTAGAAATGGCTAGGAGAATGGAAACGCAGAGCTTGGCCATTATACCGTATGGAGTTACAGGGAGCGTGCATGTCCTCGCAATCCGCAACAGAGACCAGAGGAAGCAAGTCAGTATGATACAGCTGATTAGCAGGCAGCATTACTACAAGTTTTCTGCATCTAAATTCTGATTTACCATGACTGTAACTATGTGGGCAGGTGAAAATCATGAGAAAAGTTTAAAAGAAAAGTACAGTTACCCTCTACGCTTGCCATACCAAACTGTTTCTGATGATATCACATAGGTTGATCAGATACTCCTGCGATCACTTGATCATCAAGTGATCAAATAGAAATTGCACAAATTCCTGGCCTGTTCAATGAATAGATCAGCAATCAGAACAGATCCAATGCTATCTGAAAGCTTCCAATTTTTAGCAGACTGTTGTATGGCTGCATTATTTAAGTTCCATGAAAAGTGAGCCCAAACGTATCTTTATACTTACCGTTAGGTATATGTATTAACTGCATTTTATGTAATCCAGCTTAAAAGGTATGTAGTGAATGCAAGGCAAAGCTCTAAACTATTGGGTAGGTCCGAAGCTTTCAGGTACAGCCTATTGCTTCCACCACCATTGATCTATTATGATATTTGACAGCATTACAGGTTAATAGAAATAAGCAGGAGACAGGAAGAGGCAGGTAGGCATCGGGACCATTTTGAAAAAAGAGATGGAACTTTGCCTGTAAGCACAGACTGGTAGTTAACTGCTGGACTTTGGGTGCTGCTTTAGATATATGCACAAGCACCTCTAGGTACCTGGGGTTTTTTTTTTTAGGTTTCAGGCTGCAGTGATGCACTGCATTACCATATGGCAGCCCAAAACACTTCTGGATGAGCTGCAAGACCATGCATATTTTAGCAGACATGCAGCACAGCACACCATGGTATTATCTGTTCCAGCGTGCTAAAACTGCATTGTTCTGTGCAGCCTAGGTGCACTGGTACGCCTTTAAAAATGAATGATGCTGTAATGCAAGTGTGAATGGGCCCATAGTCTCAAAGTACTAGAAAAAAAGAACAATGGATATGCAATACCAATACCAACTATGTACTTTATAATGCTGCACACTTACCTTGCAAATTCTGCCAGCTGCTTTGGATCAGACAGGTCAATTCCTGGAATTCCACCCGGGGGCAGCTTCTTTCCTGTCATGTATTCAGAGTAATCAGGTGGGGAGTTTTCACCAATAATCTGTTCCTCCACCACAGTTTCATGGTCAATGTCTTTCTTATCATCTGAAAGAAAACCAAAAACAAAAGCAAACATTTAGTCAATCCCACTAATGTCAAATATAATGCAGGGCTATGGGTGAGGACAGCAAGGGAAAGTCCACAAGTCAAAGTGTATAGCAAAAGGGAAGACCTGACGGCTGGGGGAGCGGGGATCAAGTAGGTAAAACTGCTTTACCCAATACCAATACCCTAGACCTACATAAGCATTTATGTCTTGCAGTGCAGGAGCAAACTCAAAGCCAAGGGGATTTTTTTCCCCCGGAGATGGGCTTTAGGTACAACTGTGACAGGTATCACCAGGAGGCTTTAATTAAATTTGTAATGCTGCAACTATTTTATTTTATGTAGTAAAAGTGGTTTTAGAACTTGCCATCTTAAATGGGTCTCAATGTCTTGTTTACAAAATTTAGGATGTGAGGATATCACCAATGCTCATCCCCAATCTACAGTCTGGAGACTGGGAGGCGGTCGCTGCAATCAGTTCATCACAAATCAAGTAAAGTCACTCGCACTCCAAAACGATGCCCAGTCAATCTCTTTATTGACCTTGGTAGTGTAACATCTCAAAGCGACATTTCGGAACCATGTGGTTCCTTCTTCAGGCAAACAAGAAATGAACACCAACAAAATAAAAGTGACAAAACACACAGCAGTGAAAACCAATTAACCAATCAAAAAAATCACAACCCCCCTTCTTACATCACAATGACGTCAGATTCACACCAAATACATGTAAACATCCAATAGTACCTGGGGACAGTTGTCTGGAATATCTGATCATAAGCATACCTTAAACAAATAAGTAAATGCATCTTACTGTGCCAGCACCCTTCCATCTGAGGCCATGATCCCCTCGCCGATCAAAGGCTACACCAGCCCCACACTCAGTATCACGCGGTGGTGGGTGGTAACCTTGGGAGAACATCTCGGCCATTGGACTCAGGCCGGCTCGGCAGGCACATGCGCAGTAGCCACCTGCGCACTCGTACTTCCGCTTACATCATCGCCGTGCCTAATCAGCCTATCAGCAGGGGCTGCAGATGACCAATCAGATAGCCCACCCGTTGCCAGGCAACCAGTTGATCACAAAGACTGCTGCATCACCTTTCAGCTATAGATTAGTGTGAGTGGCTTCATCACATGCCAGACCCTGCAACTCATACAGGTCAGCCAGCAATAAAACTGCATTTGCATCATCATTTGTGAATGAAATCATTTGTTTTTGACCAAAAGAATGATAAATACTAATCCTAGTCATCTATCTTTTATGAACCTAAATGCATTTAAAGTTTTTTTTATTACAGTTACATTTCTTGTTTTGCATTTCTATGGTACACATCTAGTAGGTGGAAAGCGTCTTGTAGTGATATCATAGCTGGCACAGGAGAGAGGAGAAAAGGAATTTTTTTTGCAGTGCAAACAGTACAACAGCTCTATACAGGAGGAGCAAAATCCATTCACAACATCCCAAAGCCGGCCAGCGGACAAGATTACCAACACCACAGACAGCTGCAGAGAGTTCAATATAAAACATCAACATTCATCTAGAACACAACAAAGTCATATCAGTAAATGCTGAACTCATTTCAGTACTACAAAACAGAATCAGTCATCCACCTTCAACATTCAGGAACTCGCCAATGTCAACAATCAGCTACCTACTGAACGTGTAAAGCCGGCCACACACCTAGAGATTATCTGCAGACTTTCTACAGTCAGATGGAAAAAGTGCAACAGATTCCTCCATCTACGCTAAACTAAGTGGCTGAAGGAATCTCCCACTGGGCCAAGCTTCAGTATCTTGCCAGTCTAGCTGGCTTTCAAAACACCTGAACAATGCCGGCATCCAATCAGACTGTTCAGGTGTTTTGACAGCCAGCGGGGCCGACTAGCAAGATACTGAAGCTTGGCCCAGGTGGGAGATTCCTCCATACACACAGTTTAGCGTAGATGGAGGAATCTGTTGCACTTTTTCCATCTGACCATAGAAAGTCTGCAGATAATCTATAGGTGTGTGTGTGGCCAGCTTTACACCATCACTGATGGGGGAACTCAGGAGTAGACAAATGGATATGGAATTCAGGAGCCAGTCTGTCCAATCCAGGAGCCAGCAGGATGTTTAAAGGGACCAGCTCCATTGACAACAACTAGAGAAAAACTTTAAAAGTTTAAGTGCCAGCTGTCATTTTTAAGGAGCATTGGTGACCTGGACCCTAGGATGTGACCAGCCCTGGGGTAACTAATTGTGTCTGTCTGCAAACAAAAACCTCCACACAACCTTGCCAATGACCATTAGAGGGTCAGACTCTTGCTTCTCAGCCATTCTTCAATGAAAATATGGCAGAAAGAAAACTATTCAATGCAGCAATCAAGAACAGAGTTTCCTTGAGGGTTCATTTACTCCTTGCTCAATGAGGCCTAACCCAATGACCAGCCGAAAATCAATTGCTTCCAATAGGTTCACTTAAGATTTGGAAATGAAAGAGAAGCTAATTGGTTGTCATGCACAGCTGCTCCAGTTTTGATAAATTCCCCCCATTGTTGTTAATAGTTAAGGTACTTGAATTAATTTCTAAGATTTAACTCCCGAGTTTAGTGTCAGTTGAAGTAAAAGTGCAACTGCAGCTTGGAAAGATTAGAATTTATTCCCTGCTAGACAGGGCTGTGCAAATTTCAGGAACGGATGGAGAGAAATACAAATCCCTTGACTGGAAAAGCAGCTCCATCTATGTACTTGATCTGTGTATTTAGCCATCTGCCTGGAGTTCAGCTTTAGTATGGGGATGATGTTCGGTATAGCAACTTACCAGGTTTCAGAAGTCATTATACAAAAACACAACTCAAGAGCCAGGCATTCATGATGAGGGAAGCCACATAACCTCTGTGACCCTCTTCTGCTATTAGCAGTGGAAACTTAAAAAAAGGAATGTGTTCAATAGCTCTTTACTCGCACAATTAAGGTTAGATTTGGATACTGCCACTGCTGATCTCTTGGAAGCAGTACTTTTGGGACAGACAACAGTGTACTGCTGGAAGAGAGATTTGTCTGACAAGTATCAACTATAGGGCTGCAACCAACTAAAAGATAATAATCCATTATGAGAATAGTTGTCAACTATTCTGAATTAGTTGGTTGAATCCTCTAGCTCTCTCCTCCACGCCAGGAACGTGCGGTCAGGGGAGGCAAAACTGATTGTAACAGGTTACACAGCAGGGAAAGCCTCTCCGCTGTGTAACCTGTCATGGACGGTGGGGAATGTCCCTTTACAAGTTCCTGCTGGCTTCCAGAATGCCATATCAATCTGTGCCATATGCACCAATGCAACTGCACACACCCTGGTGCAAAACCTGCAGAATGCATACAAAGGAACGCTCATCAAAAACGTCTGTGCTTAATGCTATTTAATGCCAAAGCAAAGTCTTCCTGTGTGCCCTATTCCTGCCATGTATCCCTATAACTTCCTGTGTGCCCTATTCCTGCCATGTATCCCTATAACTTCCTGTGTGCCCTATTCCTGCCATGTATCCCTATAACTTCCTGTGTGCCCTATTCCTGCTATATATCCCTATAACTTCCTGTGTGCCCTATTCCTGCCATGTATCCCTATAACTTCCTGTGTGCCCTATTCCTGCTTTGTATCTCTATATATTTGATGAGAGTTGACGTCCTATTAGGATTTCACACAATAGACATCTTGGTGCGGTATAATCCTTACAGGTCTTTAACAAAACACTGACCCGTTTGTAACAGGTTACACAGCAGGGAAAGCCTCTCCGCTGTGTAACCTGTCATGGACGGTGGGGAATGTCCCTTTACAAGTTCCTGCTGGCTTCCAGAATGCCATATCAATCTGTGCCATATGCACCAATGCAACTGCACACACCCTGGTGCAAAACCTGCAGAATGCATACAAAGGAACGCTCATCAAAAACGTCTGTGCTTAATGCTATTTAATGCCAAAGCAAAGTCTTCCTGTGTGCCCTATTCCTGCCATGTATCCCTATAACTTCCTGTGTGCCCTATTCCTGCCATGTATCCCTATAACTTCCTGTGTGCCCTATTCCTGCCATGTATCCCTATAACTTCCTGTGTGCCCTATTCCTGCCATGTATCCCTATAACTTCCTGTGTGCCCTATTCCTGCTATATATCCCTATAACTTCCTGTGTGCCCTATTCCTGCCATGTATCCCTATAACTTCCTGTGTGCCCTATTCCTGCTTTGTATCTCTATATATTTGATGAGAGTTGACGTCCTATTAGGATTTCACACAATAGACATCTTGGTGCGGTATAATCCTTACAGGTCTTTAACAAAACACTGACCCGTGTAGAAAAAAATAAATAATCATCAAGTACGCTTATGAACTTTGTCATGTTGTGCGCACACATTGCCAATGTACCATCCTCTGCACATTGCTCTGCTGTTAAATACAATCACTGTAACCGAATAGAGATACATTATGCCAAACTGTAGAATATACCAAATACTTAACACATCCACATGGAACTACTACAGAAAAATACTATATTCCAAACTGAACAAATATGTGAACCCTTCATAGAGAAAGCTGTATGACCACAATACAAAGAGCTGCATTATGTGCACACACATAAAAACACGAGTAATATGTATGTCACATCAAAAATATGCTACGGTTTTGTCAATGGAAACCAACTATGCTGCAAATCAAACACATTTACAGTATGGGGCTTATATGAGAATCATACATCTGCATGTAGTTTCTTTTTCCCAACGCGTATCGCTAAAGCTTCGTCAGGGAATGTAGGCAACGGAAATACTTACTGAAGACAGCATAGAATATCTGCCTGTGCAGGAGGAGCGACTATGCAGTACAATGGCCAGATGTGAAGGGGGTTCTAATGTTTTTAATAATGTGGAGAACAGACCCTGTAAATCTCTGCTGCGGTGGGATGAGTACACCTCCAAAACAGATATAAAACAGTGCTGGGAAGAGCCTAACCGAGGAGTCCAAAAGACACGAGCGACACCGGGCTCTGCTCAATATCACATTTACACTTTAGATAGACACCAACAAACGCAGAGCAATTGCAATATAACAGATCTTCAGCACAGAGAAAACGCAACACTGTGCCTGCTGTGCTCTTTGATCAGACATCATTGATGAGTATATGACTGGACCTCATACGTTGCAGGCCATATGGCCATGCCAACTCATTATCTGTGCGTGAGCAATGAAAAAGTTGACAACTTTTTCAATAATCGATTATAATCGATTATGTCGATTAGTTGTTACAGCCCTAAACATCATTCATGTTTATGATGTCAATTTGGAACCATAGGGCACAGCTGCGAGACTCTGACACTGCCATTATGTTATACTACCACCTCCTCTAAGTTTACTAATCCATCAACAGCCATACTAATTGACAGTCTCATTGTCACAGGTCGGCTAGAACTATGAGGTGAGTGGAAAGCACTCGCCTCATAGTTCTCCTTTAAATACTGACAAATCTTTGGAAATCAAAGAAAGGATTTCTGCACAACACTGGTTAAGGATCCCAACTGAGAAGACACATTAGAACACGACATACAGCTCTCCAACTCAACCTACCATTAGAGTGCACATGCCATAGCAGTGGGCAGGATAGGCGCCATGCACTAGGCCGGGCTCTCACATACATAGACAGGTGTCCGCGCATCATACAGTGAAAACTCTACTTCTGCAGAGGCACAGACTCTGTGAATGTTGTCTCTCTAGGACAGGAGTCCCTTACTGGCAGTACCAACAGGTAAAAATCCTGCATAGATTAAAAATACTCCCACAATGCAAATGACAGAACTTAACCTGCTCATGCACAGCTCAGTGCATTCTAAAAACTGCAAACAGGCAGCTAAGTTTGCTTTAATGCAGAAGAGACATTTCACCCAAAATAAAAGCCTGCTGCTGTCAATGTTTAGTTTCCTATAATCCCTTTTGGTTGTGTGTCCTCATAGGAGGAGGAAGTAGCTGTCCTAATAAATGATTAGGGAGAACAGCAACTGGTCACCTTAGGGCCGGTTCACACTGTATTGTGTTGCTGCAAAACTATTATCCATTGTAATGTCCTATATTACCATAGATCGTAACCTCAGCAGGGGCCCCAACGCAGGAGAAATCAAACATGCCCTTTCATTTTTTTTTACCATAGCAAACATTGGGGAGCGGGGGATCAAAACTGGAGCAGACAGAATCTGGAGCAGTTGCCCAAGGCAACCAATCAGCTTCTCAGTTCAATTAAGATTTTAAAATGAGAGAGGAGTTGATTGGTTGTCATGCACAGCTGCTCCAGATTTTAATAAATTCCCTTCATTGTGCCTTGCAGTGCCCTGCATTACAGAAACATTGTGGTGCCATTCAAAAGGACTCAAAAAACACAAATACAAGGTGTTTGACGTGCAGCCATAAAGTGTGAGTTACTGCAGTGCCCCATAGGGGACATTTATCACGCAGCAGCAACCCGAGTGAGATTTAATACTATAGATTAAAAATAATTTCACACAAAGCAGATGCATAATAAAGAAGTGGTCAGGGTCAGGTTGTATTCTGTTGCAGTGCTTCACCAGAGCAGAGGGGGAAATAAATAAAAGTGAAACTCTTATAGTAATCCGTCTCATTGCTCCTGTTAATCATTTTTTTGCTGTGAGACTTAAATATGCCCCCCTCTGTACACTGGGCTACCGCTCAAAATGAAAAGCAACGCACATATATGTCACATGCTCTGTAGTTATGCACGCAGTACTGTTGTGTTATGAGTGAACAGACCCTAACCACACATTTATTATGCCGCATGTTAAAGTGTGCAGAGTTACGATAACCGATTCATTTGAATGAGCTGCCAACACACCAAAAGAGGAGAAAGCAGCGCTATGCAAGGAAAAGTGTACGTCAGCGCACTGGTGCTGCAACACAAGTGCATTAAGGTGTCATTTAAAATTAAAGCAACACACCAAAGTGCGTTACCATAACACCATAGTGTAAACGGGACTTCTACACCTGTCAGGTCCAGCAAGTGCCCTATGGAGCAGACATGGAGCATACATGCCTATGTCTGTACCCACATACAGATGGAGGCTGATTTACTAAAGAAGTTAAAAATCTTCACTTAATGTGAAAAGCAAATTCCTGTTCACTTTGTTTTTTTAAATGAACAGAACATAAAATTAAATAATAATAAAAAGAAGATCTTTATGTGATTTATCTCCCGGTTCACTTTGATCAACCAGTGATGTTCGGATGCTTTCCACATGAACAGATAATTGAAGTGAATATTCATACAATTTCTTGTGCGACTATTCTCAATTAATTTCAGCCTCATAAAGGTGCTGACAGGACCTGAGTGAGGAGTACGAGGTGAACAAGTGCTGTTTTAGTGCAGTCCAACATCAATACAAAGAAATTGTTCACGTATACTTCTGGCAAGACCTGTGAGCGCCCTATGGAGCAGATATGGTACTGAAAATGTCTGACATACAGCTTCTTTGCAACTGACTGCATGGGTGCCGCTGCCAGTGCCAACACACACACACCTATTGTGAAGCACTTGCAGACAGTTCAAAGCGAATTCAATGGAGCGTGCTAGTATTTGTTCAGTGATTGATGTTTTATTGGGTCACAACTTATATTCATCTCTTCCTGAGAGGTGCACCCAGTTCATGACATGTGCAGAGACTACCCTCCACTAGCAAACACACATACAGGTGAAACTCGAATAATTAGAATATTGTGCAAACTTCATTTATTCCACTAATGCAACTTAAAAGGTGAAACTAATATATGAGATAGACTCATTACATGCAAAGCAAGATAGTTCAAGCCGTGATTTGTCATCATTGTGAGGATTATGGCTTACAGCTCATGAAAACCCCAAGAACCCCAAATCCACAACCTCAAAAAAGTAGATTATCACATGCAATCAATAAAACAAGGATTGTACATAGAACCATATCGGACCTCTGAAAAGTACAAGCATGCATATGTACTCAGTACTTGGTTTGGGCCCCTTTTGCAGCACTTACTGCCATTATTTTTGCACGATATTCTAATTATTCGAGTTTCACCTGTACATATCTCTCTCTCAAAGTGGTGCAGAGCACTGACAGGTATTTCAAGAAATCCTCTAGGAAGCAAAGAGTTAATTTGCTGACTGACTTTTCGGTGGGTTGCAGCCTTGATTGGACCGACAAATGTCAGTAAATAAATCCTCTGTGCTATACCGATGTCTACCGATCACTACCTTGTTACGGCAATCTTACATAGCGTGCACCCAAGAATGTGTTGTTTTTTTTTTACACGTGTGTAGGCCAATTGATTATGACAATTGATTATGAGAATAGTTGCCAACTATTCTCATGATCGGACAAGAAAAAAAAAAAGGAAAAGAGAAAAAGGACATTTTTTTTTTAATGCAACCAAAACCAATCAATTAGTTGAAAAAATAAATTGGGCATCTAATCGATTACAAAAATGATCGTTAGCTGCAGCCCTACATCTGTGCAAACCACTTTCTACTAACACAGGGCTGGATAAAACCCAGGAGCCAGGTCGCCAATGATCCTTTCACTATACAGCTGGCGTCCAACTTTTCATGTTCTCTCTAGTTGTGGTCAGTGGAGCGGACTCCGGAAATAAATCCAGCTGGCTCCTGGATTGGACAGACCGGCTCCTGCATTCTATATTGCCCACCCCCGTACTAATTATATATACACACACACACAAATGTGCATGCATGTGGCTCAACAACACATCTTACTGGTCTAAAAACCATTTCTGCATTTCAGAACTCGTGTTCAGTGTATACAGAAGTGTTGTGTAAACACTAGCGCCATGCATGAAGATAGATCTTAAAAAAATACATACATTATATATATATATTTCGGAGCGGGCGAATTGAGCCCCCGCGGCCTCCATTTCCCCCCCAATTACCTGAGGCCCACATGGTGACGGAGAACTCCCCCTCCAGGGTCTTGATCTGGACCTGCTTCTGCTCCCATTTCCGGGGCTCGGAGCCGCTCAGGTAGCTCTTCTTGCCGCTCTTCTTGCCTCCGCCTCCCCCACTCTTCTTTAGGCGGCCCGAGCTCTTCCCGGCCGCCGTCACCAAGCTTTGCTCGATGTACTCGTCGTCGCCCGTCGGGGCCGGGATGAGGATC